TTTTTTAGTGTTTTATTTATTTATTTTTATGTAGAAGAACTGGGGTGTTGGCCAGATGTGCAGGGGGGGTGTGAGAGGGATTCACCAGAGAGAGTGGGGAGCAGAACAGGCAATTAGTGTACACTTTTAAGTAAAGAGTTCAGTCCCCAGCCAGGGAGCTGACCCACATGGTGCACAGACATCTCCTGTTTTACCTGCTGCTCCCCTCAGCAGTGTATTTCAGTATCTACCCATTCTGCTCCCCACTCTGTCTCAGGTGAATCCTCTCACCCTCCCCGCCCCACCCAGACGTCTGTCCTACACCCTAGTTCTTGTATGCATAAACAAATAAAAATAAATCTTTAAAAATAAATGAAGGAAGTGTTCTGTGTAGCCCACCAAAGTGAGGACTTAGGCTCCACCTCCCTAGGGTTGGAATAGCTGCATGAGTTATTTGGAATCTGCATGGGAAGTTTTTCTATTCTGTCCCAGTTATTTATTTATTCAGTTATATTGTATATCTCTGTATATTCATGTCTGTTTACTTTGTATTTTGGTTTCAAATCCCGTATTTATTGTGTGGCTTACAGTGTTCTAGCCTTGTCATGTGGAGTCCTTTCGTTTGATATGTCTTTGATTGGTTTCATTTTTTATACTGGACTTGTATCCTGCAACCTTATGAAACTCATTTATTAGTTTTAATAGCTTATTTGAGGATTCTTCGGGGTTTTCTATAGAGATGATTGTGTTATCTGAGAGAGAAAAAAAAAAAGTTTTGCTTCTTTTCCAAAGTCAATGCCTTTTATTTCTTTTTCTCTCTGTGTTGTGTTAGCTAGAACCTCCAGTACAATGTTGAAGAGAAGTGATGAGGGCAGACATTCTTGCCTTTTCCCTGTCTTAGGAAAAACATTTCAGTCTTTTGTCAGAAAATGTGATTTTAGCTGTAGGGTTTTTGTAAATGACCTTTATCATTTTGGGAATATTCTCTCCTGTTCCTAATGTTTTTTGAGAGTTATTTTTCCAAGCATACTGTTGAATTGTTTCAGATGCTTTTTTCACACATCTTTTGGGATCATTGTGTATTTTGCTTTTAAAAAGGTGAATTATATTAGTTTGTTTTTGGTTGTAATTTCCTGAAATTAGCTCTTAGTCATGATGTATTATACTTACATACTGTTTGTTAAACTGGGTCATGGCTTATGAAATTAGTGTAGTATGCTGTGATCATTTTTAAAAAACAAACTAGTATAGAAAGTATCAGATTAACTATCACTTTGTGAAATTTTTGTTTTACTTGTTTGTGCGTCTGTATACTACATTTAATGTAAAGTATATTTCTTGAACTAATTCATTTCAAAAGTTTTGATAATAACTAATTCACTTTTTGAGCCTGAAGATAATGAGGCATAGAGTAGAGCAGGAAAGAAGCTATCCCTGAGGAGAGGGGGCAGAATTAAAGGGGGTATATCTGAGATGAAGTAATGGTATTGGGAAAAGGAGATAATGAGGAAATAAGGGTTTCTGTTAAAAAAAAAAAAACTCATTATTTTTTGGATTTGGTTAGAGGGAACTTTGGCTGTATGATGAAGTCTATGGACTGTGAAAGCATTAATTAGTTGCAGATTAATAACTTAATGTTCCTCGCCAAAGGACTTGGCAGTCTATCAGATTTTGAGACATCTCTCCAAGTACATGCTCGCTCTTCAAGAACATCCTCCCTCATATAAAGTTAACATGTTGTCCTAAAGGATTTCTCTTTTCTAGAAGTATTACTTTGAATAAAATCAAGCAGAAGCTATTAAATTTGCTTACACAAAAATACTGGTTCTTGTATTATCTGTACTCAATTATTAGTTTACTCAAGAGTTTGCATTGGGCCTAACTAGGGAGAATAAAATAGTGGTATGAAGAATTTTTTGTGGTACCTCTAAGTTCTAAAATGTTGGATAGATATTTCTTGATCATACTCTATTTATTTATTTATTTATACAAGAACAGGGGTGTAGGCCAGAGGTGCAGGGGGTAAAAGCCTTCACCAGAGATGCAGTGGGGAGCAGAACAAGCAGAACAGGCAGAGCTACTGAAATACATTGCTGAGGGGGAGCAGTGGATGAGACAGGAGAGGTTTGCTGTCCCATGTGGGTTAACTCCCTGGCTGGGGATGAAACTCATGCTGAGTAGTGAATGCTGATAACTTCATAGTGCTGAGGCTTAACCCATAAAGCAAGTACTGTTATAATCCCCATTTTATAGGTAAGGAAACTGAGCCATAGAGAGATTAAGTATAAGTAATAGTGTAATTTTTCTTCTTGCAGAGCTGGAATTCTTCACTTTTCTTGTATTTATGCTGTGTTTCCTGAGCAAAATTATGAACAGTTGATTATAGGGACTTGCTCTTTTTGTTTTGATGTAAATGTTTATTTATTATAGTTCTTTGCATATAATTTAGACTAATAATTTCATATTGCTTATAAAATATGTAATTTAAATGACCGTTCTTTCCAATTGCCTGGAAATTTTATTCCTATTAGTTGGCTATTTTTGTTGTTAATACTAGAAAATATGTTATGTATAATTAAGATTTTGGATAAAATGGAAGTCTCTTTTAATACTTTAAGTGTGTTTTTAAATTGTTACATTGTTAAAATATGAACTTAGCCAATAAATTATATATTCACATTTAAATTTTTTTCATGATACTAATGTTAGAAATAAAAGACACATGTAGACTTTTAAAATGAACCTCTTTGTATACCATAATGTACATAACAATGAAATATTAATGTGGGTTCTGAACTTTAAAAATAAAATCAGTGAGAGTAATGCCATTTTTATCTAATTATGTGGTATGATTTTCTACTGTGCTATTATGACTTTGACATATCCAGGTCAATCACTTTTCTCTTTTATACTTTTTTTTGAGTTTTTTGTTAACATACCTACTTTGGTTTTATATAGATTTCATGCTTCCATCTTCACCAAATAAAAGTCCAGCTCAAAACGTTCATTTAACTTTTTAGAGTTTATAAATTAACCTATAGTGAGCGAAAATGGTTTGTTTTATTTCAGATAACAATTTGTTCTCTTTATGAACATACCCAATATCATAACTTAATGAATTATAATATTTAGTAGAGTAATACAATTTCCTGGGACCTTCAAATGGAAATTTAATCCAAACTGCCTGCAGCAATACTTGGAAGAAGCATAGGTAGACACCTAACTTCTTTGCCTAATACTTTGTGAATATTCTTCTTTTTGTTTAGTATGTACTTAGTGAAAGTCTTTTTATCAGTCCGAGACAGATATGGCTGAAGAACCATTCTCTGTTTCTGTTTTTGAAAGAGGCATAAAATTATATTAATTAATGGCTGGAAAAAACTGTACAAACTGAAATATAAATAAAACCCTAAAATGAATAATAGAAATAATTTGATGTATATACTACTTACTATATATAAGAAGCCAACTTTCTAATTGCTGAAGATGTGGCAGCTTTCTATTTAAAATATTTTAATAGATGGGTAGCATTAATGTAAGATATTTTCAAGAGTAACTTAATAGAGCTTTACTATTTTAGAGTTCTATTTGGATAAGCATGTACTTTTTGATACTGCTCCAGTTAAAATTACAATCAGCGCATTTATAACTTAATCAAAAGGGGGTGGGGGAAAAAAAACTCTTAATGTGTATTATTTTCTAGCAGATACTTTGTATTTTACTGTATTTAATCCTCAGTAAAATCTTTTGATGTGGGTATTACTTTCCCCATTTTGCAGATGAGCAAATTGAGCATCAGAGACGTAATGTAGTAAGGGACCAAAGTAGAATTCAGAGTTAAAGGCCTTTCCTCTTAAAGATGTGTCACTTTGGTAAAATTAAATTGGAGATAGAATTTCTTATGAATGATATATACTTTAATCTGTGACACTGGGCAAGTAAGTTAAAATTTCTTACTGTGTTTACTCACCTTAAGAAATGGGGGAAAGAGGGCCTCCCTGGTGGCGCAGCGGTTGAGCGCTGGGTTGCGAAGCTGCCCGCGGCCTCTGTGGCGCCGGTTCGATCCCCGGCTGCTCCCCGGCCACCAGAGGAGGGTCCCACATGGCACGCAGACCTCTCCTGCCGCCCGCTGCTCCCCTCAGCAGTGTACTTCGGTCCTTCTGCCTGCTCTGCTCCCTGCTCTGGCTCTGGTGAATTCTCTCACCCTCCCGCGCTTCTGACTGTACCCAGTGCATGTAAAAACAAAAAAAACAAAAAACAAAAAAAACAAACAAACAAACAAATAAAATAAATAAATAAAAACATGCCTCTATAAAAAAAAAAAATTAAAAAAAAAAAAAAAAGAAATGGGGGAAAGAATAGTATTGACCCCAATGGGTTATCATGGGAATTAACTGTGGAAGTAATGCATGCATGCAAAGAACCTGGCACATAGTGAACATTGGGAAATGTTCACTATTGTTGTAACTATTGTTATTTCCATTATTTGTTTCAATGGCTTAAGAACCTTCATTTTTAAGTCAGAGAGAATCTGAATTTTTTAATTGGAATTCAGGGTCCAATTTCCTTTGTAACTTTGGCACTTTTATTAAACATGTACACTGTAGTAAACTCTTATAGAGAGGATGAATGCTATTTGTATAACTAATTCAGAGTTGTGAATAATGGCATTTTTAAGAATCTCACATGAAAAATGCCCAAATCAGCTATTCAGTAGGGTTGCGTAATACCCTTCCTCAGAGCCCTTGTAGGACAAGGAATATATCCAGTAAGTGCTCACTAACATCATTCTCAATAGCTTCTTGGAAACTAACTTTAACAGAAACTATATATAAGGAAACCAGATCCTTGATTAAAGTTGTTTTGTTCAGTGTCAACATTACAACAAATGAACTAAATGATGTCCGAGGACCAGCTCTACTGTGCTTTATCTTGGAATGATTCCTGGTTGTAGTGCAATGATTTCTAATGGAGTATAGTAACTGGCACTAAAATAAATGTCAATGTGTGCTTTCTTCCAGATTTACCAAAAATTTATCTCCTGACAAGATAAATCTAAGTACCCTTAAGGGAGAAGGTGAACTGAAAAATTTGGAGTTGGATGAAGAGGTGCTTCAGAATATGTTGGATTTGCCGACATGGCTAGCTATCAACAAAGTTTTTTGTAATAAAGCATCTATTAGGGTAAGAATTTGATATTTGTGCAAGGCATTTTCTATTTTCATTTTTAATTTCAGCTCCATCTTATAAAATATTTTTAGATCTACAAGGAGGCTTTTTCATTAACATAATGCAAAAAGAAAAATATTTTTGTCCAAATGATTATCTAAAAGTATGCCTTATGAATTTAGTTGAAGTCATATACTAATCTTGAGTATCTAATCTTAGTAAGATTAGATTTTAATTTTTGTTTAAATTTTATTTTAACTTTTAAACAAAATTATTGATACCTTATAATAAAATAATTGGTTAGATTTGGCACATAGCCAATGATACTTTTTCGTTGGATTTCTTGTCAAATGGAATACTTTAAATTTGTAGTGGGTAAATACTTTATTTATGAAGATGTAGAGATTGATAAATTGGGGCCTCCCCAGTGGTTCAGTGGTTGAGTGCTGGGCTACGAAGCTGCCCGCAGCCTCTGCAGTGCTGGTTTGATCCCTGGCCACTGGTGAGGGTCCCACATGGCGCGCAGACCCCTCCTGCTGCGCCTGCTACTCCCCTCAGCAATGTGTTTCGTCAGTCTGCCTGTTCTGCCTGCTCTGGCTCTGGTGAATTCTCTCACCCTCCAGCGCTTCTGACTGTACCCAGTGCTTGTATAAATAAATAAATAAATCTTTAAAAAAAAAAAAATCTGAAATTTTTATTCAAAAAGATGGCTGAGAAAATATAACTAGTATTTTCTTATATAAGTTAGGTACATTGCATCTGATTTTATTTTATTTATTTTTTCAAAGATTTTTATTTATTTATTTATTTTTTGAAGATTTATTTATTTATTATTTATACAAGCACTGGGTACAGTCAGAAGCGCGGGAGGGCAAGAATTCACTAGAGCCAGAGCGGGGAGCAGAGCAGGCAGAAGGACCAAAGTACACTGCTGAGGGGAGCAGCGGGCGGCAGGAGAGGCCTACGCGCCATGCGGGACCCTCCTCCTGTGGCCGCGGAGCAGTCGGGAATCGAACCAGCGTTGCCGAGGCTGCGGGCAGCTTCGCAACCCAGCGCTCAACCGCTGCGCCATCGGGGAGGCCCTTTATTTATTTACTTACACAAGAAACGGGGTATAGGCCAGATGCGCGGGAGAGTGAGAGGATTCACCAGAGACAGAGTGGGGAACAGAACAGGCAGATCAACTGAAATACGCTGCTAAGGGGAGCAGCAGGCTAGACAGGAGAGGTCTGCCTCACTGGCTGGTCGGGATCGAACCAGCGCTGCAGAGGCTGCGGACAGATTCACAGCGCTGCGCTCAACCACCTGCGCCACCAGGGGAGGCCCGCATCTGATTTTAGAAGTATGAAGGAATTATAGTCAGTTTATTACTTTGTAATTTAAGAAAAAGGGCATGTGATAAAATTTGGTATGTCTCTCACCATAATAAGAGAGCATCTGTGTTGATAAGTATTTTACTTTTTTTTTTTAAATGATTCTTTTTAAAGAAAAAAAAATTTTTGTTGTAGATTCCATGGACAAAACTGAAAACACATCCCATCTGTTTGGTGAGTTCTAAGTTGCCTCAGAATTAAACTTTATATATGCATGTGATCTGACTACTCTGTTAATATTAATCTCTTGTTTTATAGAAAAATACTACCTCTAATTAGCTTTCATTTTATTTTAGTGAGGTTTGGTTTTTCAATACTTAAGTGAAAAGTTGGAACTTTAAAATGGAAAGATCTTTAAGGTGTGTCAGGTCTGGAATATTATGATTTAGTTGGTATATTTTATTATATCATATAGCTCTTTATTGATACACTGTGAGATTCTTTTTTTAAACAATATTTTATCTAAAATTTCTCTCTTTCTGCTTCACTAATGTAGCAAATTAAATAATATGCTCTCTAATATACTTTGCTTTTTAAGAAAAATTGAAGAAAAATTGATCACTTGTTTATTGATTCATTCATTACACAAATATTTCTTGAATTTCTACTCTGTGCTTTGTATTTTTATGCAGGAGACTCCAATGAGCAAGAATAGAAATAAAAGATAGTTTCAGATAATAATTAGAATAAATCACTGGAGTTGTATTAGTAAAAAGAACATACATACTTTTTTTTTTTGTGGGACCCTCGCCGGCAGCCGGGGAACGAACCGGTGCTGCAGAGGCTGAGGGCAGCCTCGCAGCCCAGCACTCAACTGCTGTGCCACCAGGGGAGGCCCCATTTTTCATTTTAAAAGTGTTTATTTTTTCACATGTTAGTAACTAAATGTCTTATATTGTAGATCTTAAATAGGGATGAGCTTTTAGGCATTGTTCAATCCTATTCAATAATATATAATGTAATTTATTGATAATATAACATATTTTAGGATTGTAGATTACATTTTTTGTAAAATCTGATGATCTCAGCGGTATAGGGCTACTTGTAGATTTTTTGTTTCTTTTTGTATCTTGTACTCTGGAAATACACCCAGCTTTTCCACCAGATAATAAGTAAATTGATAAAGACTGAGATACATTATTCCCTTTTGATATTTGTCTTTTTAGACCTTTAGAAAGATACTTGAAATAACTCTGCTCACTTACTATTTACTTTGCTACTAAAGAAATAGAAACAAAAACCAGAAAATAGTCTTAAGTAATATTTTCATAACTTGCATTGAAAATATCTGTTATTTACATTTCAAATATATCTTTATTAGTCCTTGGATAAAGTAATAATGGAAATGAGTACATGTGAAGAACCACGAGCACCTAATGGTCCATCGCCAATTGCAACTGCTTCCGGACAAAGGTAAGCCATTTCCATTAATCTATATGGCTTGCAAAGGGAGAACTTTTATAGTCAGTACTGTTATGTGCAGTAATTATACATAAAATAAAATCCCCTTACCTCATACCTTTCTCATCAAATATTTTACATCTTAAGTATATCTGTTTCAAGAGTGGCAGATTAACTTTTAGTGTCTTTTATTCATCTTGTTTTCTTTGCTACTAAATAGTAATGATCAACCAAAGACAGAGCAGTAGCAGAAAATGGAAGCAGAAGAGCTTAGGTATTCTATAAGTCAGATAGTCTTTTAGTCTTTGAATAATTTCCCTGCATATAGTTTATTCTATGCATCGTTGAAACTTTTAGGACTCTTAAGAGTTAAGTTGATGCCTTAGAAAGTTACGCACCTCAAAATAAAGCTCTAAAACTGATTAAATATAAAACATTCACCCTTTACACAGATTAGATTTAGTAGATAGATAAAAATCAGACTCTAATAAAGTAGAAGCAGGGAAACAATTCCTAAAACCTATTTAAGAGGTTAGAATAGTAGCAACACCTGAAGGGTCTTACCTCTAAAATATAAACAACATTGTAAATCAATGTTACTTTTAAAAAAATAATAAATCTATGGCCATATTTGCAAAAAGAATTCACATTTAAACAAAAAAGATCTTTTAAAAATTGCCTATTTTTACATTCATTAAAGTTGGGTCTCGTGTGCTATACATTATTTTCACAAGGCAGGATTTCTGTACTATTTTTTTATGAACAGTTTATATTTGGTCTCAGATGGCAGTGTTGGAGAAAGAGCTTTCATATTAACTTCTTTGTATTTTATGCATCTTTCAGCAATTTGGCATTTTAAAGTTTAGATTTGATAGACTAGAATGGAGCAATTTGTCTTTAAATTGAGTAGAGTAAGAAAGTACTGGAGCAAAAATAGAGATGTTTGTAAGATTATTGAAAGAGGAAAAGTAGAGAAATTGATATTAATGACTTTTTAATTAGATGAGGCAGAAATGAATTATTTTGTCAGTGTGTATTAAGTGTAGTTGATGGTGTTCTTCCCAGTTCGTGTTTTCATAATGCCAATAAGCTTTATAATTACAACTTTGTAATGCTGATGATAATCCATAATTTTTGACCTATGTTAGGATGGTTAATTTATTTCATTGTTTTCCAGACCTGCTTCATTATAGCTATCAGTTAGGTTTCTTATTAAATCTATTCTCTGCTGTTTCTTTTAAATCATCATTCATTAGGTCTAGAATGGGTATCAAAAACATAATAGATGTTTTTAACAATTCTTTATAGTCATGCAACTTAGGGAAACATAGATCTGCTTGATTTTGTTTCTAGCTAAGAGATTAAAATAGAGAGAAATTGATAATTAACATGCTGGCTCCTACTTTGCAGAACCTGTAAGTACAGGTTAATGGCTTAGTAAACATTGTAAATTTAGAAATTTAATTTTGTTGCTGCAATTTTGTTGCATGAAGGAGATAAACATCTATGTAAAGATTAATCAAACTCTTAACAGATATATTTGTAAACTGGAATTTCACCTAATTTATGATGGATGACATAACCAGAAAAACATAGACCTTGGTCATTGCTGCAGACTTCACCCTTCTGATGATAGGGCCTTCAATACAACTGTAACATTTTTTCAAATAGATTAGAACAGTTGGGGTTGTATATTCCAAAGGGTATTTGAACAGAGTTATTATAGAATTATTCGTTACAACTCCAGGGCTATGTCTAAGTGAACAACATTTGTCCTTAGTAGTAAAGCAGCCCTTCCATGGGATACTGATTAATTTCTCCTCTTCAGTTTTTAGTTTTCTAAACCTAAAGTAGATGGTCACCTCCTTTTATAACAAATTATCACAGGCAAACCAAGGAATATATAAATTATAGCACATACATCATTTCATTTAAGGACCACAGAAACCTTTTGAAAAAGGTATTATTTTCATTTTACACATGATGAAACTGAGACTCAGTTTAATAATATCAATAATATCAATAATATACTATTATAATACTATTATAGACTATAAATATGTTATTTTATAAAGTATTAATGAGTCAAGTGATCAGCTGTTTGGTATATATGCATTATTTCATTAAATTCTCATACAACCTACAAAGCTATTAACTGAATTGAAAGGTAAGTCATCCAGAGCTTAGAAAGTTGAAGTAATTTTCATATTATTAATATAGTAAATCAAGAAGTGTGGCAACAGGAATAGGGGAGGGATATGCTAGATGAATAAAGATGATGGATTTTACTTTCATATGTGTTAACTTTGAAATATGTGATTGGCAGCTAGGTGGAGATATCTTGTGGACATTTGAATTTTACAGTCTGAAGTTCCAGCAAGAGATCTGTATAGAGACATGGATTTAAGAATTGTCACATTTGCAATATTGTTCAGTTGGCCATGCTTTCACCATCCCTCCTGCAAAATATACTGATAATCCATACCAGTGTACTTTACTACTCGTTTCTCTTGAAATGTGACCTATGCTTTTCTCTGTGCCTTTGATTATGCTTTTCCCTTTTCTAAGGTTTCCCTTCCTTATGTGGAAAACTCATCTTTTCTAGCTGTATTTCTCCCTACTTATTATAAGCATTTTCTTTTTTAGCAAGTCTGCTACTGATTTTATTTTGGAACACTTAATTACAAACTATGTAGTTGTTAGAGTATATATATTTCTTCCCCTCCTCAGTAACTTGCAAGGCCTGTAATGCCACAACTGTATTTTGGTTTTGTTTATGTCCTATATTTGTTCATATAATGAATGCTCAGTAAATATCTGATGAGCTTTTTTTGACCTTGCTCTTAAATAAGAGATTATGTTTCAGTTGGATTCTGTAGCTTCTTTGTGTCAAGAATTACTTACTTTATAGATAGATGCCAATTGTCTGACCTAATGCTTTTTGAGAACGGGCAGATTTATTTATTTTTTAAAGATTTATTTATACATACAAGAGCTGGGGTACAGGCCAGAGATGCGGGGTGTGAGAGGATTCACCAGAGACAGAGTGGGAACAGAACAGGAAGACTGACTGAAGTAAACTGCTGAGGGGAGCAGCGGGCAGGACAGGAGAGGTCTGCTGCGCCATGTGGATTGCTCCCTGGCAGGGATTGAACTCATGCTGCAGAGGCTAGGGATTGCTTCATAGTGCAGTATTTAACCCCTTGCGCCACCAGGGAGGCCCCGAGAATGGGCAAATTTATTTATTTATTTATTTTTTTTTAATAATGCTTTTTCTTTTCTTTTCTTTTTTTTTTTTTTTTAAGATTCATTTATTTATTTATTTATACAAGCACTGGGTACAGTCAGAAGCGCGGGAGGGTGAGAGAATTCACCAGAGCCAGAGCAGGGAGCAGAACAGGCAGAAGGACTGAAGTACACTGCTGAGGGGAGCAGCGGGCGGCAGGAGAGGTCTGCACGCCATGTGGGACCCTCCTCTGGTGGCCGGGGAGCAGCTGGGGATCGAACCGGTGCTGCAGAGGCTGCGGGCAGCCTCGCAACCCAGCGCTCAACCACTGCGCCACCGGGGAGGCCCGAGAATGGGCAAATTTAGATAGTGATTATAATAACTTAATTTAGGGAGTAACCTCCAATTTAAAATCTTATTATTTTGAGAAGAACATATTTATGACTTACATGTAACCAGTTTATATTATCGTTTTAACAAAAATTTGTTTTTTTAAATAAAATGAACAATAGTATGGCAATTTAGATACTTGTGTGTGGTATTAATAGCTAAGTTTTTCTCTTTTCATGATTTTTATGGTCTTAGTACATTATATTTTGGTTTGTTTTGTTTTTCCAGTGAATATGGCTTTGCTGAAAAAGTAGTTGAGGGAATTACTGTTTCTGTGAGTTCCATCGTGATTCGCATTGGAGCAAAAGCCTTTAACGCGTCCTTTGAACTTTCCCAGCTTCGGATCTATAGTGTAAATACAAAGTGGGAACATGGAGACTTAAGATTTACACGAATTCAGGATCCACAGAGAGGGGAGGTAAAGAATTTTTTCTTTGTTTCAAAAATATTTTATTTCTAACAAAATAGGATGTTTAACGTTAATACTTCTTAATGCTATCTTGAGTCACATACTACTAAATTTATTGTTTTGACATTTTTTCTTAATTTAATTATAGAATATTTCAATGTATTTTTATTATAATAAATCTCTCAATTTATAGAGTTGATAAGTCCTATTGTAAATACTCAGGTAGTTGGGATTTAAGTTTAAATTTGTAAAACTAAAATGTTATTTAAATTCTTTTGGGTACATTATTCAAATCCTCTTTTTTAATTTTCTATTAATTAATTTTCTAAAAAATTTTTTTACATCATTGTTCATTTTTAAACAATATTTGCTCCTCCCTACCCCCTCAGGTGTAGTCCCCATAGTTTCCTTCCCCAATGCACCCGTGTACCATCACCTCAGTCCCCTATGCTTCTCCCTCCCTCCCTCTGATTCCTCTCCCTCCTCCCCTGCAGGATGTCTCTGATTTGTAATTGTCCATTTTTGCTTTGTTGTGTTTTGTACTGTTATTTGTTTTTTTACACTGATGTCTTACTTGGTTCCCCTATATTCTTGCTATAAGTGAAACCATCCGATATTTTTCTTCTTCCTTCTGACTTATTTCACTGAGCATAATTCCTTCTAGCTCCTTCCACGTTGCTGCGAATGGCATGAGTTTATCTTTTTTTGATTGCTGATTATTCAAATCCTCTTTTTACTTTATATTTACAACTTGACAGATGATAAGTAGAATTATGAAGATGAATGAGTGAATTTGTTGGAGTTACACAGTTTTAGAAAGTAAAAGTATGGTGAATATATCTAGAATGTGATGAAAATTAGTGAAGGGTACATTTTTTATTCCAAAACACATTTTTCTCATTCTGTTTTGCATGAGTAGGTAAAGCTAATCTCTGTCTTCTCCTTAGGTTTTGACATTTAAAGAAATAAATTGGCAGATGATTCGAATAGAGGCAGATGCTACCACAAGTTCACATCTCGAAATTATGTGTGCTCCTGTACGACTAATAACCAACCAATCAAAAATCAGAGTTACACTTAAAAGACGAGTAAGTCAAATAGTGTTACCTATTTGATTTATGTGCTACTATTTGAATTGATAAGAAATTCTAAGTAAATTTTAGCTGAAATATTGACTTAGTAAAGCAATCCAAAATTAAAGGAAATATGGTGCTGAGGCATTATTTAAGAAATCTGTAGTAATAACATTTTTCTGTTTGTTAGATTTTAGATTTTTAGTTTTTGTAAATTGAATATACTTCTCAGTTGTCAAATACTCATTAAACATAAAATATCTAATAATTTCATTGCTCTTACTGAATCTTGCTCAGGAGTGGTTAAACAGCAAAGCCTCCAATTTTCATCAGCCAAAATTGCTGGCTTTAGAAGGTTATCAAGGTGTGACTAGTAAGTGAAGATGACTGCTTGGAGATTCAGAAGTTGAGAGTTCCCTATGAATTGTGATAAAATTTATTGAGGGAGCAACGACTTTTAAAACCATGATTCAAAGAAAATCTCCACAATCCCTTTTGTATCACCGTACCCAAATAGCAGTACTAAATTGGAAAAAATTTTTCAAAGTGTGACAATTAATACAAATACTCTGAAATATAAAAAGTAATGAAAATTACCATTTGGTTAATTTTAATGCCCTGCTCTCTAAAATTAGCTGAATTAAAATATGGCTTATTGGCTGTAAATATGAAATTACTTAAATATGTGTAGCTGTGTAATTTGTACTTGTTAAGGTATAGGAATTTTTTAGCCTTTTTTTCCTGCTGCATTTTTAATACTTGGAGATACTCATTCTACATTATGAGAACACAGTAAATATTTGGTGAGTGAAAGAAAGATCCTTATTTAATTCCATTCAAAAATTTTAGACTTTTTTTTTAAATGCAAGTGCATTTTAAGCTTTATTTCTTGGTTTAATTTTATAAATCTTTTTTTCCCGGCAGTTAAAGGACTGCAATGTCATAGCAACTAAATTAGTTCTGATGTTGGATGACTTATTATGGGTTTTAACGAATTCCCAGTTGAAGGCTATGGTACAATATGCAAAGTCTCTTAGCGAAGCTATAGAAAAATCCACAGAACAAAGAAAGAGTATGGCTCCTGAACCATCACAGGTATGCTATTAATTAATGGGGAGGAACTTGCATTACTTGTAAATGGTTTAAAAATCAGGGCAATGGCTAGTTGTTGTCCTTATGTGAAATAGATTGTGTATGACCTGGAATCCAAGAATCTTCTTTATCTCCATATCTTGCTATGCAGTTTTGTATACATATACACACATACATAGCTCCAAATTAGGTACTATATCAAAAGAAACATATGAAAACATTTTAAATGTATGTCTTTCTAGATAGTAACTACTTTGGTGCTCTGTAGGAGGTACTTTAGCTACTGGTGACATAAAAATATTTGCTATTAATACCTCTCTTCAGGAAGTTAAAACAATACAATGTTAAAATTTGTAAAGTAAGGCTAACAGGAAGAAAGCTGGGTAATTTTAGTCAAGGAGGGAATGTAATAATTAAAATAATGCAACAAAATTGAAGACATTGAATTGCTGAATTTTTTAATAAAACTGTTAGTTATCGCATGGCAGGGGAAAACACAGTGTAATGAGTTACTTCTGGAACATTTTCTTTTTCTTTTAAAGATTCATTTTTATTTGTTTGTGCATACAAGAACAGGGATATAGGCCAGAGATGTGGAGGGTGAGAGGATTCACCAGAGACAGAGTAGGGAGCAGAGCAGGCAGATCTACTGAAATACACTGCTCAAGGGAGCAGCAGGTGAGACAGGAGAGGTCTACTGTGCCTTGTGGGTCAGCTCCCTGGCTGGGAATGGAACTCCTGCTGCAATGGCTGCTAATAGCTTGATAGCACTGAGACTTAAGTCCTGCACCACCAGGGAGGCCCTCTTTAATAATATTTTTTTAAGATTAATTTATTTATACGTACAAGAACTGGAGTGTAGGCCAGAGGTGTGGGGGGTGAGACAGCAGGCAAGATAGGAGAGGACTGCTGCACCATGTGGGTTAGTTCCCTGGCTGGGGATCTAACTCATGCTGCAGTGGCTGCCAATAGCTTGATAGCTTGATAGTGCTAAGACTTAACCCCTTGCATCACCAGGAAGGCCCTTCTCTTTAAAAATTTTAATAAAAGGAACATTCAAATAAGCTGCCTTTAAATAATTGACACATATATTTTATAAAACAAGTAGAACTATAAATATGTAATATAACTATAGAGATATTTACCAAAATATTTTGGATTCATATTCAAATTGTGTATAGTTTTCTAATTTTTTTAGATTTTAGTTTTATTCCTATGTAATGCAGAAAGTATTTTAGGTTATATCTGAGTTATCAATACAAGAAAAAATACTTTAGCTTACTTTTCATGAGTTTATTACTAAAAATATTTACATTTTGTTGTGTGTGTAGTTTTACATATTAACTTGCAGTGATAACACAGTTTTGAATCTTTTAGACCTCTACAGTAACCCCATCTACCCAGCAAGTGAAGACACCACAGACTTCAAATGTTCCTGACCTAAATGATGCAATTGTGAAACTGTTCAATGACTTCGATGTTAAAGAAACCTCTCATCATTTAGTGATTTCTCATTTAGATCTACACATATGTGATGATATTCATGCTAAAGAAAAAGGTAATGAAGCTGTGTATTTCAGACTGTTTGGTTTTTCTAAATGCTGTAAAACTTTATTAAATGTAATATATAGGCTGTACTATAAGATGACTGGTCATAACTTTATCATTTACATGAGAAATATAGATGAAAGATGTAAGTATAAGCATAATCTTTGGTATAAAAATTTATTTTTGCTTTAGTAGCATTTCTCACAATTAATTTTTAGGAATCTTTGCATTAGTAAATTTAGATTTGAAATAATTAAAGTCTAGATAGATGACATCTTTAGAGGATGATTAAATCTTGGGTTTACTGCCTGTGAAATGAACTTTTTCATAATTTTAGAATTGTCCATAAGTTAAATTTTAGTCCATGCTCAAGTGTTTTTAGCATGGTGGTTTACTACATTTTTCTTATCCCAGGTACATGTAAGCACACCTGTGTGACTGTTTTACATTTCTTGTGCCTCCTGTATTCCTAGTCTTCCCAAAATTTGGTCAGGAAGCAAAATTCTAGTTATGGAAGTTTTTTTCTTTTCTCTTAGCCTTTGTTTCTCTTACTTTGCTTATTTGGTAGACATAGATAATTGGTGTAAGCAGGAATGTGCCCTTGATCACTCTGAAAATCTGTGCTTCCTTACGTAGGTGCTGGGAATTTTTGTTTCCCAGAAAGTGTCTCTGCCCATGAGTGTTGGGAGGGCTCAGTGAGGCCTAGGACAGTGGTTCTCAGACTTTGGGGAATGTAAAAATCAAACTGAGGATCTCTTAAAAACAGAACTACCTGATCTACATACCTCAGAACTGAGTCATAATCTGTATCTATGAAAATTGTTCTGGATTTTTAAAACTGAGAGTGAATGTTGATACCAATGCCAATGTTAGGAGTAGAAGTTACCCTGCCTTCATCAGACAAGGCAGTCAAATACTAACTACCAGATAATAGGGTGGAGCAGAAAAGGCGAAGATTTAGAGAGTGGAGAGACATTTGTTGTCTTTGCTTTTGTCTGCCTTTGTGTTATTTAGCTTATAGTTAGCTACTAAAGCTGTAGTGTTTTGAAAACAAAACCCAAAGAAGTTAAAGCAAAGCAAAATAATAAAATGAAAGGTCAAGTTTAAGTAACAAACAAAGAACAAAGTGTACATTCCTTACTCTTTATATTTCCTCGAAGAATAATCCGAATGATGCTATTTAAAGGGAATACCCCTCCATCATAATACCATCTTCATAGAACACATCAATAATCAGTCTATTCTAAAAATGAGAAAGATCTGAATGTTCGATAAATTGATATATTAAATTAATATAGAGTGTGTGCATAGTTGTACCTTAAGCATTTTCCTTTTTGTTGAGTTGTTCGTGCTGTTTTACAATTTGATTTTTATGTTGCAATAACACTGACTAATGATATACTTTTGATCTTAATATAGCTGTGTGATCTTGGACAACTAACCTAATAGACTCAATTTCTTCTTAGTAAGAGACTAGATGATACAATATAGTGTTTAACATTTCCTCCTTTCAGTATGCTTATTGGATATATGACCTTGGCCTATTTATTTAACCTCTTTGTGTCTCAATTTCCTTATCTATCTCATACCTAAAGTATTTAAAACAATGCTTCATGTGTGTTAGGGCTGTAAATATAAAAGTTCTGCTATTGATGTATCCTTACCTTTTAGCATAGGACCATGCAGATGACAGGAACTCCGTAAATACTTAATAAACTGAACTGACTTCCCTAAAATCTTTAATGATTACAGAGAGAGTGACTGTATCACTATGTGGACCTCAAGTATGGTAAATCAGTTGTTCCTGATGTTAGCTTAATATTTCTCTCTCTCATTTCCATCTTTTTTTCTTCTTCTAGAATCAAACAGACGTATTACTGGAGGGGCTATGCAACTGTCTTTTAATCAACTAACTATAGATTATTATCCTTATCACAAAGCAGGTATGTGTGATGATTTATTTAAAGGATGCAAATCTTACTCTAAAATTATATAGCCTGTTTATTTCATTTTGTTTTATTTTGCTATTTTCTTAAGGGGAAAGATTGCCACATTTGCTCTTTTTTTTTTTTTTTAAGATTTATTTATTTATGCATGCAAGAACTGGGGTACAGGCCGGAGGTCTGGAGGTTGAGAAGATTCACCAGAGAGAGTGGGGCTCAGAATAGGCAGATTGAGTGAAAACACTGCTGATGGGAGCAGTGGGTGAGTCAGGAGAGGTCTGCCCTGGCCATGTGGGCTAGCTCCCTGGCTGGGGATTGAACTCAGGCCACAATAGTGATAGCACTGATACTTACTTAACCCCTATGCCACCAGAAGGCCCTGACACATTTGCTTTTCACTTGGCAGTATCTTACCAAGAAAATGTAATTGCCACAGGAACTATTATGCATTTTATATTGATACTTATGTACAGTATTAGAAAGTTTAACTGTCAGAAAATGGCTTTATTGTAAGTAAATGATTTAAGAATTAAAAAATATCAGAATGCAAAGGATATATATTTGTGCGATTTTAATTGTGACAAACCGAATTATCTTTAAAAATTTCTAATGATATATTTATATACTAAAGGATTATAAAAGAATGTAAAACAAAAGAATAACATTGGTTTTAACTAAATTATACAGGAACTTATAAAAAAGCTTTACTTTTTAACTTCATCAATAAATAAGATGTAAGAAGCCCAAATATTGATAGGTTCTTTTCTCCTAAATAATAACAAAAAGCATACATGTTTATGGCCAACTTAATTAATTTGACCACATATTATATATGCCTTTTTTGGTATGTGGCTATTATTTTTTAATTCACATAAATAAGAAAAAAAGAAAAACAAATAGCTTTAATTCGTTTTTTAGAACTTTAAAAAAGTGATGAAAACTTTTCTGTTTACAAATTTCCATCACCCAGTGTTTGTCATTTCTGTAATAATACCTGACAGAATTTAAAGATTACAGTATTTGTTTCCATTTTTGTTTGTAGGGTTTTGTCTTATATTTTATCCTCCTGATTTATAAGTTACTGACGTATACTTAAATATTTAAATTATAAAATATTAAATATCTATTTTTAACTATGGAAATGATTTCTATTTGGGGAAGTAAAACTTTCAATTATAAGGTAGATTTTATTTTAACTCTTTGATTTACATCTATTAGTTGCTATAGATAAAACTAATAACCCTGGTTTTCCCTCCAAAAAATCTTAAATAAAATAAAATACAGATATACCTGTATCTTTGTGACAGATATCCATCTTGACAAATTTCAATAGTTTCTTAAGTGTTTAGTAATTCTTCTTTTTTAGATAAGTTTTTTTCAGTCACATTGCAATAAATGTTTTATGTCAGGACTTTGTTCTGTGATGGTACTATCTGTATTCTGGCCAGTGGAGTTTTACTAGGTGTTTGAGCATTCGCTGAAAGTTGACCAACAGCGCTACTTCTAAGTAAAATGGGTTCTAGGTAGAAATTCTTCCAGGTTTTGTACTTTTGACTCTTTCCCTCCATTTAAGAGAAGGTTGTAAACTTATTTGAAGATTAAGGAATCCTTTGAAAGCATGAATAAATCTCATTAGAAGCATTGCTATAATAGCATAAATAAATAAAAATCATACATTTTTGAGTGAAATATCTGTTTGTTCATTTTATAGGAGATAGTTGTAATCACTGGATGTATTTTAGTGATGCAACTAAAACAAAAAATGGATGGGCCAATGAGTTGTTACATGAATTTGAATGCAACGTTGAAATGCTTAAACAGGCTGTAAAGGATCATAATGTAGGTTCACCTCCTAAATCCCCAACACATGCCTCTCCCCAGCACACACAAACAGGTATTTTACCTATAACAGCATTGTGACTTTCCCTTAATTTTAATTGTAGTGTTCTTGTGTCTATGTTTATGATCATAATATATTTTCTATGAGTGATATGTTTAGTTAATACTAAAAAATACTGCACCTCATTTAGATCATAGGCTTATGGATCTAAGAACTATTTTAATTCATATGAACAATAAGAGTAATATGTAAGTAGACTATTTTAGTACACCTCTCTTTTTAATGAGAAGTCCAGCTGCAGGTTATTTTATGCATATCATAAATGTGATAAAAGTATGCTTCCTGCTTAAAAAAGAAGCATCACAAAAAAGGAATAATCCTTTAATTACTTATATTTCTATATTTATATGTAAAATATCACCTATCTCATTTAAGAAATTAGGATTTATCTATATTCCTACTAACTGTCTTAATAAAAGAGTGACTGTGACTGATAATTTTACCATAAGTTGAAAGGAGTTTTTGTTTCCCGCAGAAAAAGACTTAGTACTGAAAGGGACTTCCACAACAACTTCAGTATTATCTCAACAATCCAAGGCAAAGTTAATGTCCAGTTCTGTTGTGGTTAGGCTTGGTGATTTCAATATATACCAGGTATGTTGTTGTTTTTAATTCTTCTGAGAAACATCTTTAGTGTCTTCTGCAAGCAATTCTTATAAACTTTTATTTTAAAATTTTATTTCAAAACATCTTGACTAGTTTTGAAATGGCAAACTTAAACATCATAGAAAATGTTAATTTTTTAATTTTTTAAATTTAATTTAATTTAGTTTTATTTTAAGATTTATTTATTTATTTATACAAGCACTGGGTACAGTCAGAAGTGCAAGAGGGTGAGAGAATTCACCAGAGCCAGAGCGGGGAATCCAACAGGCAGATTGACTGAAATACACAGTTGAGGGGAACAGTGGGCTTGGGAGGAAAGATCTGTCGCGCCATGTCAAACCCTCACTGGCGGCTGGGGATTGAACTGATGCTGCAGAGGCTGTGGGCAGCTTCATAGCCTAGCACTCAACCGCTGCGCCAACAGGGAGAGCCCTAATTTTTTTTAGATGATTACCCAGAATTAGCCAAACTGAGGTTAAAGGCACGGTTCTCTTGACTGCAAAGTCTGCACAGGACTTCTGATACCAATGTCTGCACAAAACTTCTGGGGGTTTCCCTCTACTACCCACAGATTAGACAGTCTACTAGAAAAAGTTATAGAACTTGCTAAAATCAGTTATACTCAGTCGCATTTGTCACAGGGAAAGAATACAGGTGATAACCAGCCACAGGAGGAGATCATAGACTGGTGTTTGGGAGAGTGCCAAAAGTGGACACGTTAGCATCCTGGCAGGAATGTTTAACCATAGACATAATGCTTTGCACACTTAATTAAACACAGTCTTTAATTAGGTGGACTGATAAACCTGGTGACCCAGTGCTTTCACCTCTAAAAACTAGGAAGACTATCAGGTGTTGCCAGCTCCGCTGTGACTTATCTTGTAAGCATAAACTATCAGTGCTGGTCCAGGGGTCCACCAGGTGTAGGTTATTCCCAGGGTTTAGAATTGCCTCACAGGAGCAGGGACCAAGGCCCGCTCTGTCTTTGGAGCCCAGATTCCTTATTACATAATGGTTTTAGAAGAAACTGAAACACTTCTTTTGCTTTTTCAACTACCAAATATTGGTTATATTGTGAACATATTTTATGGCTAAGTATTCTGTTGCATTTATACTTAACCAGACTATAATCATACAACATGGTCTAATATACAGTCCTTCTGATTAACACAAGAGAATTTATTACCTATTTTAAAAAATAAGGGATTTCAGATGTGTTTTATAATTTATGAATTGTGGTTTATTTTGGTATATCTGAGACTTTGAGACTTAGTTTTTCAGAAATGTTTCATTTTACTTAGTGGTTTTCAATAATTTTGGTTGTCAGAGCTAGATGGGATTGCTGCTGACATCTAGTGGGTGGAGAACAGTCATGCTGCGAAATATTCTTCTATACACTGGACAGCCCCCAGGACAAAGAATTATCTAGGCCAAAATGTCAGTAGCCAAGTTTGAAAAGCCCTAATTTAACAGTTATTTTCTTATTGTACAGTTGCTTCCTTCTTTAAATTCTATATACAGTGAATCTTATTGAAGTGGAATTAATGATAAAATTTCAGTAAATTGGTATCAAATTGAAGGGGGGGAATTACCTATAATCTTAAATGGTTGAGGTTGATATCCCATACACAGAAACACAGAAACAAAACAAGTGTAATAGGAACCTTGTCATTAGTAGTCTTTTTGGAAGAATAATTGACGAGATCAAACTATTTGATGGAAACATTTGTAACTATTATTTTAAAATTAATTTTATTATGTTAAAAATATATACAACTCAGAGTTTATCTCTTACAGTGTACAGTTCACTGGTAACAAGTATATTCACATTGTTGTGATACCATCACCATTACCCATCTCCATAATTTTTGCCCCCAAACTTAAACTCTGTGTAGTAAAGAAAGTATGGCAAGGATTATTATTACTTTATATCAGGGATGCATTCTGGTCTTAAGTACTTATTTGTATTATTTTATAGAAAGTCTTATTTTAAAGCTCAAGATAGTAAATTTACCAGAAATATTGTACAAAGTTGATTTTGTAATTGATGAGAATCCATAGAGGTAGTAGTTTTGTAAATAGTTGATTGTTGTTATTTAAAAATAATTTACTGTGAAATTAAGTATGTAATAAAATTTGTACTGGAAGTTTTTTTTTTTTTTTTAATAGAGGCATGTTTTTTATTTATTTATTTGTTTGTTTCTTTGTTTATACATGCACTGGGTACAGTCAGAAGCGCGGGAGGGTGAGAGAATTCACCAGAGCCAGAGCAGGGAGCAGAGCAGGCAGAAGAACCAAAGTACACTGCTGAGGGGAGCAGCGGGCGGCAGGAGAGGTCTGCGCGCCATGTGGGACCCTCCTCTGGTGGCCGGGGAGCAGCCGGGGATCGAACCGGCGCCGCAGATGTCGCCGGCAGCTTCGCAACCCAGCGCTCAACCGCTGCGCCACCGGGGAGGCCCAAAATTTGTACTGGAAGTTAACCATGAAAACATTGTTAGAAATAGTTTTAAGTGATTTACATGTTGCATAAGTTCTTTGGAAAGGATTTTTATTTAATATTACTTCAGTTAACTTAATTTTTTTCTTAAGGTCTCCACAGCAGAACAATGTCGTTCTTCTCCCAAAAGTATGATTTCTTGCAATAAAAAATCCTTGTATCTTCCACAAGAAATGTCAGCTGTTTATATAGAATTCACAGAATATTATTACCCAGATGGGAAGGATTTTCCAAGTAAGAGAGTTTCCTATTTGTTTGTTATTTGTCCATTATTTTGAAGTTTTTTTCTTGGTAACTTATAAATGTGAAAAAAGAAACAACAGTTCATTGTTCTTTATTCTTGTTATTGTTGTGTTTAGTGCTAACTCTTGTGTAGCATTTTCACATATTTATCTGTATGTTCTTTTCTTTCACTGCCTTATGGCATCCTTGAAGTCAGGAATCATGTAGTAGTCATGCTTCATTTTGTTCTTGAGATTTGACTCATTTTTGTACTGAGTAGTTGTATGCTAAATGAAAGATGAATGAAAGTTAGTTTATTTGTAGTATAAGGTCACTTTTTCCCTCTAATCAAACCTCATTTATATTTCAATTATATGACATGGTTTTTCTTTGGAAAGTGAATAATTACATCCTTTTAACTACTAGAAAAAAATTTTTTGCTGTTTGTTTATGCCCATGTGTATTTTTTGGACAACTTTGCCACTTGCCTTTAAAAACACTGAGCTATATGAATTTTCATTTGTAAGCTACCTTGACTTCCTAGATTAAAATGGTTTTACATTAGTGTTCTTTGAGGTTAAAGTTGTATGCTACTATTTCAGTTAATTTAGGAGTTTTTCAAACTAAAATTCACCTTTGTTTATGTGGTACCTTTTTCATTATTTTAGTTAAAAATCATAGTTGAGGAAAAGTATTTTGTAGCTTTTGGTATTAGAGTTAAAAAACTTTGTATCCTCTCTTTAATAATGGAACCCCCAAAAATACTTAGACCTACTTTGCCCATTTGTTCAATATTGACTAAAGGGAATTTCTGATGCACTTGTCTTTGTTGTTAAATTAAAAGAAGCTATCATGGAAATTACTTTGGAGAAATAAACACTGAACTACTTCATTGCTTTAATCGTTCTTTTTGCTAACCTTTTGGTGTCTGGTTCTTACCATCTTTATGCTTTACAATAGACTTTTACACATTTCTCATTTGTTTCTGTCTTCTGCCTATCTGACGAAAAAGATGAGAAAGCTAAGTTCACACATTTCTTCAGAAAAATAGCAAAACTGAAACTCAGGTCTATGTTTCTTCTAAATCCAAACTATTGTTTGTTTTCTCCATGTATCACACCATCTCCCAGGGTATTCACAGCCGTTTGTCTGTACCTGGATAATCCCGCTATTGCCAGGCCACCATTCCCATGTATTTCTTAAATAATGCATCCTTGAACTAGTAGGTTTTTTTTAGAGCGAAGACTGTTTCTGGGATTACTAATTTCTAATCTAGGTTTATTTCTACCAGTTTTATTAATGTGCCAAAAGAATTGTAATCCCATGATCTAATATGTACCTTTTTTCCTAATAAAAATATAAAATTGCTTTTCTAGCAATTTAAGCGCTAGCTCCCCAGAGACCTATTTAGCTATAACTTTTAATTTTTTTAAATATTTATTTATTTATGCATACAGGAACTGGGGTGTAAGCCAAAGGTGTAGAGACAGAGTGGGGAGCAGAACAGGCAGATCTACTGAAACACAGTGCTGAGGGGAGCAGTGGGTGAGACATGGTCTGCTGCACCATGTGGGTCAGCTCCCTGGCTGGATGGGACTTGAACTTGTGCTGCAGTGGCTGGCAATAGATGATAGCTTGATAGCACTGTATCTTTAACACCTGCGCCACCAGGGAGGCCCAAATACAACTATTTTTAAATCATTTTTTTATCATGGAAAAATTTCAAGCATGTGTAAAAGTAAAGAGGACTTTACCTCTTAAGAGTAGTACTTAGAACTGCAATTTTGATGTGATATTCATCAAGAAGGTAAGGTTTTTTGAAGTCTGAATCTTGGTAACTATTACACTAGTACAAGAATCTAAGCAGTACTTCCTAATTACATAGTCAGTCTTATATTGAACTATTTTTTAGTTAGTGATATGTAAAAAAAGTTTTTTTGGCTATCTGTGTTAGCTATCATTCATGCATATCACTTTTAATTTTGTGAAGAACATCTCAAAACTTTTTATCTTAATTAAGAAAGAATAAACTTTGTTAAAAATGTTTTTTCTGTTCTTAGGAAAGATTTTAAAACTCTGTTCATTAAATTTGTTTTTAAAATTTTTTTTCTCCACAGTTCCATCTCCCAACCTTTATAGCCAACTGAATGCACTACAGTTTACTGTGGATGAAAGAAGTATTCTTTGGTTAAATCAATTTCTGTTGGATTTAAAACAGAGTCTTAATCAATTTATGGCTGTGTACAAGTTGAATGACAATTCAAAATCTGATGAACATGTTGATATTCGAGTTGATGGCTTAATGTTAAAGGTACCATATAAACAAGTGACTATGAAAACAAAAACCATTTTTATAGAAGAAACGTTGACAGCATTTTGGTTTCCAGGAATTAAGATAGGTGCTCAAGTATAAGCAACTTCACTGCAATATTAATTTTGATTTTGATATTTCATTTTCAGTTTTCATGTTCAATTATAGAATTTTTAAGAGACTGACTCCCCTCCCCCTGCTTTCAATTTTGTTCTGTTTATTTTGTGATCTGTTATAAGCAAATAGATATAACTATGTATGTATGTGTAAATACATTTTTCATTATTCATTACATACTTCATTATTTATTTGTTTTTTGAAGATTTTTCTTTTCTTGGTGGTTAATCATTTAAGCCCCCCTCTTAATTTAATATAAAGATTTGGGAGGAGAGACCTAGCATCTTATGTTTGGACAGGAAAGTAGTACATTTGGTGGAAGGGGGAGTCTCTAAAGGAATTTCTGAGCCTAAGTCATGTGCTTGATTATTTTGTCTTTAAGATCTATGAATTTGTAAGTTAAATATAATTTTTTTCTTTCTTCTAGTTTGTTATTCCCTCTGAAATGAAATCTGAATCTCATAGAGATCAGCCACGTGCAATTTCTGTTCAGAGCTCTGAAATGATTGCCACAAATACAAGACATTGTCCAAACTGTCGGCATTCTGATCTAGAAGCTTTGTTTCAAGACTTTAAAGATTGTGATTTTTTCAGTAAAACATATACCAGCTTCCCCAAGTCTTGTGACAATTTTAATCTTCTGCATCCAATTTTCCAGAGACATGCTCATGAGCAAGATACCAAAATGCATGAAGTTTATAAAGGAAATATTACTCCCAAGTTGAATAAACACACACTTAAAACTTCTGCTGCCACAGATGTCTGGGCTGTGCACTTTTCTCAATTTTGGATAGATTATGAAGGCATGAAAAGTGGAAAGGGACGGCCAGTAAGTTTTGTAGAGTCTTTCCCGCTTTCTATCTGGATTTGTAAACCTGCAAGGTATGCAGCGTCACAGAAAGAGCTGCAGCCTTGTAGTCAAGTATCTTTAAATACATCACAAAGTGAATCCAGTGATTTGAGTGGCCGACTGAAGAGGAAGAGGCTCTTGAAGGAGTATTACAGTACAGAGTCTGAGCCCTTGACTGATGGTCATCAGAAATCTCCTTCAAATACATTTTTAAAATTTTCCGCTTCATCAGATGCAGACATTCATGTCTTGGCTCATGTTCATAAGCATGTCAGCGTGCAGATTAATCACTACCAGTATCTGCTCCTGCTTTTCCTCCACGAGTCACTTATACTACTTTCAGAGAACTTGAGGAAAGATGTGGAAGCTGTGACTGGCAAACCTGCTAGTGAGACATCCATTTGCATTGGAATTTTACTTAAAAGCGCAGACGTGGCTCTTTTGCTACATCCAGTGGATCAAGCAAATACTGTTAAGGCTCATGTTTGTGAAAATACGAGCCCAGTGGTTTCTGATTATTTGCCAACAGAAAATGGAAAGGTTTTGTCTTCAAAGAGAAAACAAGTTAGTAGTCGTATAAGTCAAAGTAATCCTATGTCAGACAACAGATCTTTGAGTGTTGACCTCAGCCATGTCCCTTTGAAGGAACCTTTGCTTTTTAAATCAGCTAGTGATACAAATCTGCAAAAAGGTATTTCTTCTCTGGATTATTTATCAGATAAAAATTTAGGAAAAATAAGCGAAGATGAAAGTAGTGGAATTGTTTGTAAAAGTGGCTCAGGAGAAATTCGATTAGAAAGAAATGACAAGAAGGATTCATCTTATACAAATTCAAATAGTGTCTTAAACCACAGAGAAGATTCAAGGAAGCTGTCATTTGATAATGATGGTAATCAAAACATACTTTCAAATAGTTTAACTAGTAAAGAAAATGAAGCCATGGAGTCGATCTTGAAGACTGAAGATTTGCTTCCAGAAACAACTTCACTTTCGGAGAACCTGGAAATCAGTAAAGAACAACTAGCACCCATAGTTAGGACACTGAAATCACAGACATATTTAAGGTAAAAGCATGCTTGTTGGAAATGTAGGGGCTTTTGTTTTGCCCTGTGTGTGCATGTTGGTGTGCGTACATATGTTTGCACACATGTGAGTGCAAATTGCACGCGTATTTTGGTTTTGAACAGAAAACCTCATGACACAGTGACTTTGCTAGAGTTAGCACATGGATGAGTAGGTTCTTCAAAATATGAAAACATTGTGAACTTATAAAATATAATCTTAAAACTTGTGGATGCTCTATGTACATTTTCATTTCACTAGCAGTATTTTTTTAAAAAGAAATTTTTCCTTATAGGTGATGATTTTCTAATATTTTTGTTAACAGTGGAAAATCTAAGGAACGTTGCTCACCCAACCTGGCTCCACTCTGTGTTTCTCACAAGAACATGGAAAGAAGCTCCTCACAAATCTCATTGGATACTGTTTCTGTTGACAGCAATATATTGGAAGAACAGTTGTTAGAAAGTGATGGCAGTGATAGCCACATAGTTTTGGAAAAAGGTAAAATGTATGCTTTAAGAATTCATATTTTTTGTATACAAATCTTAGAAGTAATTCTTTAAGTATTTTCAGTTATTCAGTGTAATTAATTCAATAATTAATTACAGCCCCCCAACTTATTTATTCACACATAATACAGGGTAACTTTCTAATGGTTGTCCATTGCGTCCTTTACTAGATACTCCCTGCTGGCTCACCTCCAGCAGTTATTTGTATACAGTCATGCAGATCATAAAGCAGACGTTGTTAATGCTATTAGGTTTTAGCACAGAGACTGGAGTTTTGATTAAGTGGATTTACTTTGCATGATGAGGTCTCAGAATGTGGTCCTTTGACTGGGCATTTTCCAGACTGGGTTCTCTCATGTATTTGAGTATGTACAGTGGAACTACATGATTGCCCCATTTTATACAGAGCGAGCAGTACCTCGGTAATGAACGCTAGAAATGATTTAGAAATTTTGAATGGATCCCTATCATTAAGGTATTAAAGACTATACTTTTTTTAATACTGTACCAATTTGTCTTAACCTTATAAGTACCTATTCTTTTAATTTGCTGCATCAGAGCTTCCTAACGGTTATTTGTCTATAGTTACACTGTTATAGATAGAGCTGGGACTGTCTTTTTATTTGCTTTTTTCCTAAACTAACATTTACATGAAAATTACCATACCAGTTGCCATTGTATGTGTATTATTTAACCTAATAAATCTGAGATAGGAACTATTGTAATCTCCATTTTAAAGATGAGGAATCAAAAGTTAAGCTGCTTGCCAAGATTACACAGCTTGTGAGTGATTGAATTAACAATTGAACCCAGGTAGAGTTCAAAGTCTAAGTTCTTCTATCTCATGCCAACTCATTTCTTCTTAACCAAACTTTCTCTTCAAATAAAAGTCAGGAAAAAGCTCTACTATGTTCCCATTTACTTTAGCTGGTGGGAGATAGTGGTCAGTCTACCCTACATCATCAATGATAATTATAACAACAGCAGATTTCATTGACTGCTCCTCGTCACTCTGCCATGTGAATCTAGAATACATTGCTTTATTTAATCCTCAAAACAACTAAATGAGGGAATTATTATTATTAATTCCATTTGCATAGATTCTGAAACTGAAGCTGGGAGAAAATAGTATATTGCCAGGAACAATAGAAGCAGATTTAGAGCTCAGTTTGACTTAAGAGCCTAAACTTTCGGGAGCTCCCTGGTGGCGCAGGGGTTAAGATGCAGCACTATGAAGCTACCCGAAGCTACTGCATCACTAGTTCAATCCCTGGTCAGGGAGGTGTCCCCCATGGCACAGCAGATCTTTCCTGTCTCGCCCCCTGCTCCCCTCAGCAGTGTCTTTCTGTCAGCCGGCCTGTTCTGTTCCCCACTCTGTCTCTGGTGAATCCTCTCATCCCCCACAACTCTGGCCTATACCCCTGTTCTTATATGCATAAAATAAATAAATCTTAAAAAAAAAAAAAAAAAGCCTAAACTTTCAACCAGCTAATATACTATACTACTTTCCCAGACTTGGGAAGTGATAACCAAATGTAACCTGGAAGCCTAATCCAACTCCATTATATATAATTCATAGCAGTCTCCTTTCCAGCATATTGACCAGTTAAATGTAGAAGAGCTACTAATCTACTGATTTTATAGGTCATTCAAATCCATTCTAGACTCGCAGAATGATTGCTTAATTGCCTAGTCACCATTTCCCCAAAATCCTAACTTAAAGGAGAATTTTTTTCTAAGATCAAAATATACTTCAAAGACAGTGTTCCTATAGAAAACATCCTACTTATTCTCAAAAAAAAAAAAAAAAATCAGTGATTTTCTTGATAGTTGTAGAAATTAAATAAGTAATAAAAGTAAATACTACTCAATTTGGAAAATATAGACAAACAATTTGGAAAATAAAATAACTCAAAAGTCTCACATTGTAAGATACCAACTATTATTTGCTCTATGAATTTATATATATGTTCATGTGTGTATGTATATGTGTGTGTGTGTGTGTTTTGTGTTATACTATACATATATACACATGTATATTTTTACCCTTTTTATCAGTTGTAAGCATTTTCTTAAATTTCTTTGAAAATATTTTTAGTCTCTGTTAAATTGTCATAAGATTATAGCATGACTTTTTAATTATTTTCTTGATATCAGATATTTAGTTTGTTTATTTTATCATGGTTATAGAAATGCTGCAATTCATATTATTGTTCATAATTTTTTTTCTGCATTTGTAATTACCCTTCCAGTTTCATCCCTCTTGCCACAAATAGCATGAGTTTATCTTTTTTGATCAAGGAGTTGTGTTCCATTGTATATATGTAATGCACCTCTTGGTCTACTCACCTGTTTGAGGCATTTAGGTTGTTTCCATATCTTGGCTATTGTAAATTCTGCTGCTGTAAACATAGGAGTGCAGGTTTCCTTTTGAGTTGTTGTTTTTGTATTCTTCAGATAGATACCTTGGAGTGGAATTGCTGGGCCATATGGTAAATCCATTTTTAGTCTTTTTTTTTTTTTTTTTTTTTTAAGATTTATTTATTTATGCATACAAAAGCAAGGGTACAGGCCAGAGATGGGGTGGGGTGAGAGGATTCACCAGAGACAGCGTGGGGAACAGAACAGGCAGACTGACTGAAACACTCTGCTGAGGGGAGCAGCAGGCGAGACAGGAGAGGTCTGCTTTGCCATGTGGGTTTCTCTCTGGCCGGCCGGGGATTGAACTCGCGCTGCAGAGGCTGCGGACTGCTTCATAGTGCAGTGCTTAACCACTTGCGCCACCAGGGAGGCCCCATTTTTAGTCTTTTGAAGACTCTCCATACTTGTCTACGTTCCCACCTACAGTGTAATAGGGTTTCTTTTTCTCCACACCCTCACCCGCACTTGTTGTTTGTGGGGTTTTGTGATGTGATATGTATGTTTTTATGAGCAGAGAAACAAACCTATGGTTGGCCTGCTACCTCAGCACTGGCTCCTAACTAGTCGCCTCACAGCTGTTCTTAGCTTCCACTTCATCCCATGGGCAGAATACTCTTTATAAATGATATCATTTTGATTTCCATTTTAATCCTAATAATCTCCCTTTGCTATAATGCTATTAAATTTTGAAAATCTTAACATTACTGACATTGCTTTGTGTGATGTGGCCTTGGCTTACCTTTTCTTCTGTTTTCCCAAGTGCTTAGTATACTACATTTATTTTAGTATATTGAATATACTGTAGTGTATTTCAGTCACTTGGTTTCTTTACTATGATAAATTTTTTTCCACCTTGGGGTCTTGGTACTAGTGCCTAGGATGCTCTTTTTCTTTAAGTATACTTTGGCTTAAATAATATTTTGTCAGTGAAATCTTCTGGCTCTATTAGGAGCTCCCTGTGAAACTGGATTTTATTAGCTCCTAATATTACAATTGTACTAATATGCATCTTACCTGGCCCCTCAAAGTATTTATTCATTCAATACATAGCTTATTGAGTACCTGCTATGTTGCCAGACACTGGTTAAAAGCTGATTATGTAGTGGTAAATGCAATTTTAGAAAGTTGAGGCTGTGTTCTGTATGTCTTTGACTGCTTCTAATGTAATATTACTAGTAATTCATTTTTATGGTGCTTCAAAAAGTACAGTTGGCCATTGGAAAACTCAGATTTGAGCTGTATCAGTCAACTTAAGCATATTTTTTTCAGTAAATAAATTGGAATTTTTTTGAGATTTGTAACAATTTTAAAAAACTTGTAGATGAGTTGAGTGGTCTAAAAATATCAAAAAAATCAAGGAAAGAGGATGTCATGAATGTATAAAATATATGCAGGTAATACTCTTTTTATCACTTACTACCACAAAATGTGCACAAATCAAAAAAGTTAACCTTCATGAAAATTTATACACATGGCACAATTCATAGTCAAGAGAAATATGAACAGACATCAGTGTGGCTTCTTATCAATTGCAGTCTCTTCAGTTTTTGGAGTGACAGTTAAGTTTTGTGAATTTTCTACTGCTTGGGAGTCAGCACCCTTAACCCCCACATTGTTCTGTGAACACAAACTTATTAAAAAATTGCCCTTTACCATAGAGAATTTGAGAAATCTTGAAGTATAACATGTTGAGAAATGAAGAGAAGCAGATAAGGACAGAGAATGATCACCTTGGTGATAGTGGCAGTAACTTCAGATAGAAGATAAAATTAGGAATTAGGGCGTAGGACCCTGAAATGAAGAGGTGAGACTGAACTAGTCGGTGTGGGATGAGAGGGGGGACAAAGTTGCCTGACTGGAGCTTGCTAGTTAAGCCAGCAGTGCAGCTGCTTGGGAACAGGCTGATCCACTGTGGCAGGTTTCTTTTCATATTATGTTTAGTATTTTAGTATCTCTAACATTTTATTGTGGGGATTTATTTCTTATTTGCTTACTAACCATAATTTAATTTTTCTTTGATTTTTTACCTTTTGAGCGAGGCTCTGCTAGAGAAAGAGTTGAAGGGATAGTCTGTGCTAATTTACTTGTATATTATTTCAGGTATTAAGAAGAACTTGGCTACAATTTACCAGAGCCCCGCAGAAACTGCAAATGCCAGTACAAATATACAGAATTATGGTGCAATCTCTCCAGATGCCATCAGCACAAATTCAGAGGGTGCTCAAGAAAATCAGGATGACTTGGTAATCATTTTAACGAGATTCTCTGAAGGGAAATGCCATCAACTATCTCATATTCAATATAGACACATTTAAAGTCATTAATTTGTAAATTGACTTAGATGGTGGGTAGTACACTTTGCTCTTTCTGCTCTTAAAAATTCTTTCCTCTTACTGAACTGTTCTTATTTGAAATTTACTTTTCTAAATTTGTTTTATTTGTATTAAGGGAGATTCTTTTTGCTATCTTATCTTTTATTTTTGGACTTTTATTTTAGTCATTTAAATACACTTTGCAAGAGTTTGATGCTAATGGTGGAGTCAGTTCACAAAAGGAATATGTTACTGGTTTATTTTAAGCCTGACTGATCCAGTGTTCTTAGGAGATGCCTTAGAAAAAATATGTTTAGTATTTAGTGAAAGTCATTGGATATGGAAATGTCATATAATTCATTTAAATATATTCTTTTGACTGAATGATTAGGAAAAAAAGCTAAAGATTGCCACGATAATGTAACATTCTATTGGTCACATTTATATTTTTAAAAATAATAGGTTTTTTTTTAAAAAAAAAAAAATTATTTATTTATACAAGCACTGGGTACAGTCAGAAGCGTGGGAGGGTGAGAGAATTCACCAGAGCCAGAGTGGGGAACAGAACAGGCAGACCCATGAAATACACTGCTGAGGGGAGCAGTGGGCGTGGCAGGAGTGGTCTGCGCACCATGTGGGACCCTCGCTGATGGCCGGGGTTCGAACCTGCGCTGCAGAGGCTGTGGGCAGCTTCGCAGCCTAGCGCTCAACCACTGCGCCACCAGGGGAGGCCCTAAAAATAAGTTTCTTGTGTTTTTTCTTATATGTTGTTTTCAGTTACTTTCTAAACTAATATTTATGCAATCATTGTTAGATGTCAGTTGTGGTGTTTAAAATTACTGGTGTTAATGCGGAAATTGATATCCGGGGAGAAGATACTGAAATCTGTCTTCAGGTGGACCAAGTGATACCAGATCAGTTAGGCAATATCAGTCTTCGGCATTACCTTGGTAATCGTCCAGTAGGTAAGTCTATAATATGATTTAAGCTTGTTATGTTTTCTGTGCATATGACCATCAGTAGTTGTGTATATGATATAATTGAATTCAAGGAAAAATATATCAATTTATAATATGGAAGAGATTTGTTCTTTTAGATTACCTTATTTTCATAAAATATTTTGTTTAAGATGAAATCTGTTGAAGATGTATTCTCTAATTTTTTTGTTTATGCTGTTGATACATTCAACCTTTTACTTTTTCAGTCTTCCCATTCTTTTATAGGCTAATTTAACTGAGCTCTTTGTTTATGAAAAATGTGATAGTTTATTCCTAGGAGGTCAGACTTAGTTCCACACTATGATAAATGTTAATTTCTGCATTTTATTATCTTGCTTGTAAGCAAACATTTCCTGAGTCTGGCATGATATTTAGTATTTGGAAAAAATCATGTATTTTATTCTTGTGATCCTTCATTCTGAAATCAACAGGTGAATCTACTGAAATACACTGCGGAGGGGAGCAGCAGGTGAGACAGGAGAGGGCTACCCCACCATGTGGGTTAGCTCCTTGGACAGGGATCGAACTCATGTTGCAGTGACTAGTGATAGCTTGATAGTGCTATGTTTTTAACCCCTGCGCCACCAGTAAGGCCCTATTTTCCAATTATTTAAAGTCTCACTTTTAATGAGGAAGCTATAAAACGTAAGGTTTTCATCACTTCCTCATACATGGCTTAAGAAGCGCTTTAAATGCCTTGACCGTTTCTCTTCACAGTTGTCTGTTCATTATGTTGCAAACATATTTGTAGGCACACAATCAGGCACATTCTGATTATCTGAGATATCCATCGTATTAGTTACATTATGTCATGATTTGTGCACAAAGTTATAATTTTTATGTGTTCTTTTCTCATAGGTTCAGATCATAAAGTTGTATTTAATTCCAAATCCTCTCCTGAGATTACACTGAGATTTGAAAGTGGGCCTGCTGCTGTGATACATTCTTTGCTTGCAGAAAAAAATGGATTTCTGCAATGCCATATAAAAAACTTTAGTACTGAGTTTCTTACATCTTCTCTTATGAATCTTCAACATTTTTTTGAAGATGAAACTGTTGCAACAGTGATGCCAATGAAGATACAAGTTTCTAACACAAAAATAAATTTAAAAGTATGTTAGGAGTTTTTATATTTTAATGTTATAAATGTTTGATTTATCTATAAGGACTTTGATTCATATCTAAGAATATGCCTTTTCCTTATTGTGAATATCTTATCAGCATTAAAATAAATGGATTGTTCTTTGATAAATGAGATAGAGATTTTAGAAAATGGAAAATGTTAAAGTAAAACAGACAGTTTTCTCAGCTAAAGCATGTAGTACATATTTCGAAGTTATTAAAAATATTAACAAAAATAATGCTGTTAAAATGATCATTTTAATTTTATCATTTACTTTAATAACAACATGTGAATAACATTTCTCTTTCCTGTAGGATGACAGTCCTCATAGTAGTACAATATCTCTTGAACCAGCTCCTGTAACCATTCATATTGATCATCTTATGATAGAGAGATATGATGATGGCTCTTTTCATATCAGAGGTATATATATAAATATATATGAAAAACAGCGTTGAAGGAAATTTGATATTATTTGCATGCAGATTGTTTCTTTTCACTCATATTTGCTATTTTTATGTCCTTATGCAGTATTTCAGTAGATGATTGAGGGGCATTTTAAGTACATTGTAATAAAATATCAGCTTCATATGGACCTCTACCCCAGAAATAACTCATCTACATTTAATTTAGTACCTGTTTTACAAATCTGTTTTGAATGAAAGTAAGAGAGGCTTTCAAGGTCTTATATGTCTCTTGTTCTTATTTGGGTCTCTTACTTGATCTCATTTTTAACTTTATTTCTCATTATTTTATATATATTCAGCCAACCTGATATACTCCCTGTACAGAATTTCTCTCAAACTTTTCCTTCTCCATTTTTTTTTTTTAAATATTTATTTATTTATTTATACAAGCATTGGGTACAGTCAGAAGCACGGGAGGGTGAGGGAATTCACCAGAGCCAGAGTGGGGAGCAGAGAGGGTAGAAGGACCGAGGTACACTGCTGAGGGGAGCAGCGGGCGGCAGGGGAGGTTTGCGCGCCATGTGGGGCCCTCCTCTGGTGGCCGGGGAGGCCGGGGATTGAACCCGCGCTGCAGAGGCTGCGGGCAGCTTCGCAACCCAGTGCTCAACCGCTGCACCACCAGGGAGGCCCTCCTTCTCCATTTTTTTTAAGGTTTATTTTTATTTATGCATACAAGAACTGTGGTGTAGGCCAGAGATATGGGGTGGTTAGAGGATTCGCCTGAGACAGAATGGGGAGCAGAGCAGTAGGCTCTACTGAGGGGAGCAGAGGAGAGGTGTGCTATGCCGTGTGGGTCAGCTCGCTGGCTGGGGATTGAACTCATGTCTCAGTGGCTGCCGATAGCTTGATAGCGCTGACTTTAACCCCTGCACACCAGGGAGGCTTTCCCTCTCCATTTTTATTTGTCTTATTACTCCTCCTTAGAATGGTTTATTCCCTTCTAAGGCTCTGAAGCTTTTTTTTCAATGAACCCTTCTGTATTACCTGACATGACTCCTAATGCATAGAGAATAAATGCCTACACATTATAATTCCTGGGTTCTTAGTCTCCGTACTTTAGTTAATTATAGTGTATTGATGTTTATTTAGTTCTGATTTATTTTTTTTTAAAGATTTATTTATTTATACACGCACTGGGTACAGTCAGAAGCATGGGAGGGTGAAGAATTCACCAGAGCCAGAGTGGGGAACAGAACAGGCAGATTGACGAAATACACTGCTGAGGGGAGCAGCAGGCACAGCAGGAGAGGTCTGTTGCGCCATGTGGGACCCTCCCCGGCGGCCGGGGATCAAACCAGCACTGCAGAGGCTGTGGACAGCTTCACAGCCCGGTGCTCAACCGCTGCGCCACCAGGGGAGGCCCTATTTAGTTCTGATTTAATATTTATATCACCATTCTAACAAGATTTTTAAGATTTCTAATATTCTAGAGAATTGGAAAGTGCTTAAGTCAGTAGACTTAGGTGTTCTAGTTCTTTGCTACTGGCCACTTAGTTTGCTACTAGCCACTTGAGGGTGAAATATGAGAGACTGATTCTACGCTCCCATTTCTTTTCCTATTAAAACCTCATTAAATACTATAAAATATGTTAGAAGAAGGTGCAGCAGACCTCTCCTATCACGTCTGTTGCTCCCCTCAGCAGTGTATTTCAGTAGACCCACCTAATCTGTTCCCCACTTTGCCCCTGGTGAATCCTCTCACAACCCACACCCGTGGCCTACATCCCAGTTTCTTGTATGCATAAATAAATAAAATAAATCTTTTGAAAAAATTTGTTAGAAGAATAAAGTTGATAAATAAGTACCACCACTGTGTCACACATTCTTAGAAGAACACAACCAGAGAGCAAACTGAAAAGACACAAACAGAAAAATCTGCAGCCATAAACATATGAAAGAGAGGACCGTTGCTAAATTAGAGCAATTTCTGGAGAATTCTTTTTTTTTTTTTTAAAGATTTATTTATTTATGCATACAAGAGCTGGGGTACAGGCCAGAGATGCGGGGGAAGGGGAGGGGTGTGAGAGGATCCACTAGAGACAGAGTGGGGAACAGAACAGGCAGACTGACTGAAATACACTGCTGAGGGGAGCAGCAGGCAAGACAGGAGAGGTCTGCCTCGCCATATGGGTTTCTCCCTGGCTGGCCGGAGATTGAACTTCTGCTGCAGAGACTGTGGATTGCTTCATAGTGCAGTGCTTAACCCTTTGCACCACCAGGGAGGCCCTGGAGAATTCTTAACTGAAGAGTCTTCTCTGTGGAATTTGGGACCAACTGGAGTAAGCATAGGAGTCAGACCAGTGGAGATGAAAATGTTGACTTTATTACTAATAAAAGCTCAGGTGGAAAAGATAGCTTAGGTCTTTGGCCATGGTGTATAATCTTTTATATATTCTGGGTTTCGTTTGCTCATATTTTGCAGAGGATTTTTGTGTCCATATTAACAAGCATATTAATTTTACTTTTGATTTGTCTGGTTTTGGAATAGGTGATACTGGCTTTAGAGAATGGAATAAGTTATGTGCCTTCTATTTTTTTTTTGAAGAGTTTATAAAAATTTGGTATTCTTTAAATGTTTAGAATGATTACAGTAGTAGAATTCATCATTGAAATCATCTGAACCTCGGAATTTCATTGTTTGGTTTTTGATTACTGGTTCAGATTTTTTTTTTTTAACCCAGTAAGGATCTATTCACATTGTCTATTTCTTATTCAGTCCATTTTGGTAGTTTGTGTTTTTCTAGGAAAGTTCCTATTTCTGAGTTACCTAATTTATTGGTAAATAGTTTGTAGTATGCCTGATGATCGTTCTTTAAATTTCTGTAAAGTTGATAGTAATGTCCTGTCTTTCATTTCTGATTCTAGTGATTGCTTTTCTTTTTTTCTGTTGATCTAAAGGTTTGCCAATTTTTATCATGCTTTCAATAAACAAGCTTTCGATTTTATTGGTTTTCTCTATTTTTTTATCAAGTATTTAGAAATGTTATCTGAGCATTTTATTTGTTTGATCAGATTCTCAGATGCTTAACACTGGGAATGAGTTGAAAGAAAATGTCAAAAGTCATTCACTGCTGCTAACCAGTGGAAAGTATGATCTGAAGAAACAATGTGGTGTCACCCAGGCCACTCAGACCAGCCCGGAGGTCCCTTGTCCTTCTCAGTCACCTAACTTTCCTGAGTCTTCCTTTGACTTCACTAGAGAACAGGTAATGGGAAAACAGATTAATTCTCATTCAGTTTCAGCATTTTAAAAAAATTAGATGTTAGTTAAAGCATCATTTATTTAGTTATTTAAATAATATTTATTGGGCATATTTATTTATGTTCAGGCACTGTATTAGATGCTATGGATATAGTGTTGAGTAAATAGGGACATTCTCAGATTTCGCAGAGGTTGTAGTCTAGTGGGAAAATAGTGGAATAAATGTAGTACGTGAGTAACAGTTTCTGAAATCAAGGTAGTCTTCCTGGAAGAAATGCTCATTTTTATGTCTTATTTTTAAGTTGTAAAAGTCTATTTCAGAACATTGGAAAAATGTTCTAAAACAACCTTAATACATTATAATCTCCTGCAGTGCTATCAATATTTTTAAATTTGTCCCCTTGGACTCTTTTCCAAATAATTATTATAGTATATAATCTATCTTTTTTTTTAAATAAATGTTTTTTTATATTGCTCCATATGGTTCATGTTTATTTTTAGTGACAAGAATAATATAATATTTCTCTTAATTTTTGAGTTGCTTCTTATTTGCCATTATAAATAATTAACAAACTATTCAACCGAACTTTAGTTTTCTATGTTAGAACCACAGAATGAGTTTATTCTTCTGTCCAAGGAATTATTGGTAATCAAGGGTATAAATTTAAATAGCATATCAACCTATCTATTGAGACACTCGCTCTGTAAATATATTTTTCTTGGGAGAAATTCCTTAATTTTACAATATTTTCATACTTAGGGGTTAGAGAAAGTTCCAAGAGGATAAAATGTTAAAACTAATCTTAATCAGGGGGAAAGGACACTAATTAGCCCATCAAGGTGAAAATGTCTAATGAGATATTCAGAATGTTGGTCTGGAGCGCAGAACAGAGTTTGCGCTTCATCTGGCTATATATGATAGTTGGAATCCCAGGAAAAGCTGAGCTCATCAAAGAGCATGACTCAAGTGATAGACAACCAATTATGGAATAAAAATATAAGTGATGTTATTTTATTAATTTTTACTTATATATGTATTTTTTACATTGCTGTTCCTGAAAGGTGTAATTCCCATAGAATTCCCACCTAAGACACCTGTGAACCGTCATCATAGTCCCTTGTGCTCTTCCCTCCCCTAGTATGAGACACCTCCCTCCCCCTTCCCAGCTGGGTGTCTTCTATTTATCTTTTGCCTGCTAGTTTTGTTATGTTTTATTTTTTCCTGACCCCTTGTTTGGTTCCTCTATATTCCTCTTATAAGTGAAACCATTCGCTGATTTTCTTTTTTTTCTTCTGACTTATTTCACTGAGCATAATCCCTTCCTGCCCCATTCATGTTGCTGCAAATGGCATGAGTTTATCTTTGTTTTGATGAATGAATAGTATCCCACTGTGTGTATATATATCACATCTTTATCCAGTCATCTGTTTTGGGGCATTTAGGTTGCTTCCAAAAATATAAGTGTACTTGAACAGCAGATCACAATAGGAAACATGCTTGGTAGAGAGAGTGAAAGATAAAAGAGCGGTAGCAAAGATTACTAAAAAGGAGAGACTTAGGAAAGAGGGGTGAGGTTAGCAGTGTCTAAAGCCATTGAGGAGTCCAGGGAAATTGAGATTAACCAGATTCAGTATTTGAATCTGGAAATTGGGAGTTAACTGTTTTGAATTGCTATGTCAGAAATTAACATTTTTAAATGCTTGCTCTGTATTGCCAAATAGCTTCTGAAAACAATTTTCAGCTTAAGTGCATCCTCACTGATATTGTATAATTTTACTGTCCCAAGTATAAATCTTCAGGTACTATGTAGTCTATATTTTCTGAAAATGATTAAGTTCTCTTATTTTCCAAATTTATTTCAGCTCATGGAAGAGAATGAATATCTTAAGCAAGAATTGGCTAAAGCTAAAATGGCTCTTGTAGAGGCTCACTTGGAAAAAGATGCTCTTCTTCATCATATAAAGAAGATGACAGCTGAATAGCAGGAATGACAGTCAAAAACTCAAATTATAGCTCCAGACTAGGGAGGTGTTACATTTATTAATGTGATGTTTGTTATCAATTAGTACAAGACTTTCTTTTTCATGAAAAGACAATAAAGTGGAATGGAATGGAATGAAATGACTATTCAAAGATGGTTTTGAAAGTTTTAGGTACAGGCATTACAATCTTTTGGTTGTTTTGTATTTTGGCATTTAACCTTCTTTCAAACTGCTGTATTATGGGAAATTCAGCACATACTATAAAATAATTACATGCCTAATGAAAATAGGATGTCATTTCCTAATTTTGATACCACATTTTAAAAAAAGAAATGAAAACCTAATGTGTCCCATAGGTTGCTGAATTTATAATTACTCATTAATAATTTACTGTTATCAACAGTCAAATGCTTTTAGGACTCATACAAAATAGCAGGAGGCTTACATTTTAAATGTCATTAAAATTATGTAATTAAATCTAGAATTATTTAATGATTGTAAAAAGACAGCAAAAATTAATAAATTATGTAATTGCTGGGTTTGAAAATTTTGGAAAATCATCATCCTACTGAACCCAAAAATAACTTGGAAATGTGGGGGGTAAATAATTTTAAATGATGGGTAAAGTGTGTAAATTGAAGCTATAATTTTTAATGAAAAGATGGTACAAATGTAAAAATAAAAAGCACAAACTGTAAAAAAGAAAACAGTAGAGTATATGGCCAACTGATTTAAAAAGCATTACTTGTACATTCCTTTAAACATATTATTACAAGTAAAAGAGTAATTTAACTATCCTGCTAAATTTAGCAGCATTTGTAATTTTAAGAATTTTAATTAATACTGTTTAAATTATTTCTTTAACTTTATCTCTCCTCTATTTAAGGGGGAGAGTGTTTTTGCAGAATTTTCTTTTCACATACATGAAACAATTTCATACCATTCTTGTAGTATCATGTTAAGTAGATGTTTGCACATATTAAATTTATAAAGCTAGTTTTGATTAAAGCTCTATGTGACATAAACAAAATCTTGTATATTGAGAATAATTAGTAAATTTAGAATTCTATTTTCTAGGGATTGTTAAGGATGAAACCAATGTGAAAGAATCTCAATCATAAATTATATGAGTACGTGAGTGTTTAAGAGACAGGCTTTTAAAGATTTTAAATATATTTCTGATAGAATTACATCAAGTGGGGTCTATTTTAGAAGTCATTCTTAAATATTTACAAGATAGAATATGAAAACTGGACTGCTCTTTAAGATACTTGAATTTTTAAGCCACGTTTTGACACTTTATGGTGCTTTGCTTGTTGGCATGCCTTATATAGCCATTCTCTATTTGAGCACTTAGAAGGAAAATACATGCTTCATTTTCAATAAGTGTTACAGTGATTTAGATTTTATTGAATACTGTACTGGCCTCTTTTTCTTCTATAGCATCCATTTTCATTGACATTACTGAAAAATACAAGACCCTGTTTTGGGAGCTGAGGATACAGCAATGAACAAATTAAATTGTTGATATTTTACTGCAGAACATTTTAAAAATCATGTTAAACCATGTTATTCTAAAACCACATAATAGCCTTAGATTAAAAGCAAAGGTCTAATGAAAGATTTAAAATTAATAGCTTATGTTTTCAATAGAGTACTTCTGATTTGTAGGTGTATATTCAACAAAAGCAGTATCTATTAAAGAAAAGCAATGTTGATGGGACATTAACTTCTTCAAAGCTAACAGTGTTTCTCAGGATTGACCTATTGCTCTATATAAATTTTAATTTTATGATATATATAATTGTTCACTGTTATAGAAGCTGAATGTTTTTTCTTATTTCAGTTTACTTGACCTTTTCAAGAAAATCACACAAACAGTAGAAATGATATTTAGCACAGATCTATATGCTTTGTTGGACTTTTAAAAATGTATAATGAGTACTATTTTTATAGAGATTAAAAATTCACAAAACACTTTCGAAAACATTTTCTCTTGTAATTCCCACAACAAAACTGGGAAGCAAGTATTATTCACACATTAGAGGTTTTGTTTTTGTTTTTCAAAAAGCCTTAAGCACAAAAACAAGTGACTTGATTGAAATCACATTAGTACTCCTTTTAATACCCAGTTATAAGCTGTTACTTTACCTTAGTGGTTAATTTGAAGATTTTGCCAGGGGCTTGGGCTTGGAGAGGAATCACTGTCTTTTATGTGTTTTTCTTTTAAAGATAAATATACTTTTAATACTGTGTATGTGTATGATGGGTGTATATTGTTCAACTTGAAAGATATTGGAGAATTTTTGTTTGCCTAATTTAACGTCAACCTTTCAGTCATGTAAGATATAGGAGTCAATCTATCATAACTTTAGCAGAGTTTGGTAAGTGACCCCAAAATAGTTAAAAGGTTGTTCTCTCTCTATACACACACACACACACACATACATATATAAAATAAAATTTTTTAAGATATATATGCACACACATATATATGTATACACACATATATACATATATGTATATACATATGTATATACATATATGTATGTGTGTATATATAGCTTAAAATTTTTTTTTTAATTTGCTAAGTCTCTAGCAGAGATGTTAATGATCAGGGGAAGGAAATGATGGTAATTGTGTATTGTTTTTTAATTTCATGTATGTCAGAAACATTTTCTTGGTGTCTTGTTTTGTTTCTTTTCTCATTTTATGCTAGAATTTCAAAAGACTGCCATATGACACTAGTTGTGATGAAGCATTTTTATTTAGCCATGTAAGGGTGGCTGTGTATGATTGCAGGCAAATATATGTGAAAAAAGTCACCAGAAATTCTTTTCCTGGTTTTTATTGTTGTGATTGTTACTCAATACTTGTCAATACAGGAGTTATAACGTCCTCTTTAAGTTACCTTACTGTTTCAATGAACATCACTGTACTGTTTACCCAGGTGGCCAAACTAGTAACCTAGAATTCATCTTTTCCCTCCCTTACTCTTTTCCCTTCCCACCACAATCCCCACCACTGCCATTAGTTCATCAGCAGGTCCTGTCATTTTGCCTTATAAACATGTCTGAAATTTGTCTACTACTCCCTACTTCTCATCACCTCCCAAATCTAAGCTTTCATGCCTCCCGTGCGTCCCAAATGGCCCTTCTCCACTTCATACACTATACTGAGTAAAATAATTTTTTGAAGTGCAGTTGTTTTGTTTTTTTAATTTCTTTTGATTTATTTATGCATACAAGAACTGGGGTGTAAGCTAGAGGTGGAGAGTGAGAGGATTCACCATAGACAGAGTGGGGCAGATCTAGAACAGGCAGATCTACTGAAATACACTGATGAGGGGAGCAGCAGTGAGACAGGAGCGGTCTGCTGTGACATGTGGGTATCGGAGTCAGGCTACAACATGGGTGATGGTGCTGAGACTTAACCCCTACACCACCAGGGAGGCCCTGAAGTACAGTTTTAATCAAGGCAACCTACCTATCCATTCACTTAAAACACTTAAGAGGTTTTTCATTGTTCTTAGAATGAAAAGAGTATTTTATGTGACCTGTAAGGTCACATATATTAGGACCTTTAGCTACTGTAGACAAAGCATTCTGAGCATTAAAAGAGTTACTATCTCAACAGATTAAAACAGTTAAAACATAACTTTAAAAATCATTCAGTAGAATTTAGCTATTCAGCCTCATTGTGCACTGTATTTCAATTACTTGTGTTCTGCCTTCATTGCCCTGTAGGCATATGGAATAAATGAGAAAGTGCTTCTGCCACAATAAGAACCCTCATTATGCTGTTCCCTTGGCTTGCAATACCTTTCCTGTTTATTGCCTTATAATAATTCCTATTTGTCTTTCAGAATTCAGGACATTGATCACTTCCTCAGGGAAGCGTTCCCTAATTTCTGTCAAAGAGTTAACTGTTACTCATTATCACATGGCCACACATAATTAGCACATTGAACATCTTTGTAATTTCATATGTACTTGTTTGGTTAATGTAGACCTTACTAGATTGTAAACTTCATGAGGACAGGGATTTTTTGTTGTCGGTGTTCAACTTTGTATTCCTTATGCTTCATATAGTGCCTGGCACGTAGTAGGTGCTTAATAAATTTGTTGAAAGAATAAAAATGAATGGATGAGGTATCAAGGATGTTTTCCAGGTATTGAGTTCTTCTCAGTTGGGTTGAGGGGAGATGGTACATAGTTAGAAAATTAAGTGGTAGTGATTACCAAAAAGGGGCAAACTTCTTGAGTTTACAGGTTAAGAAAGAATGAGAAAATTTGCCATACTGTTTTCTTCAGAATCTTGACTATCTATCTGAACTTGTAGTTGATTTATCACAAACCATCACATCACTTCAAAAAACTGTTGCAGTGCCAGAATGTCCTCTGGTTTTGATTGTAACACGGTGTTGTGTCTGCCAAGATATGTCAGTTCTATCAGTAAATAGAATGGAAATAAGGCCAAAAGAATAGTGACTAAAATAAACTTCAGTTATGAGAAATTGACTAATACATGGGATCACTTGTGCCTAATTCCTCAAGTTCAAACAGTTTGATTTTAACTTGCATTTAGAAATGCTAGAGAGTAGATTTTGATCTATGTTTCAAATTTTTATTTTAATTTTTAATTTTTTTTATTTTTAATTTTTGTGTAAAGACCTGGAGTATAGGCCAGAGGTGCGGGAGGTGACAGGATTCACCAGAGGCAGAGAGGGGAGCAGAACAGGCGAATTTAATGAAATATATTGCTAAGGGGAGCAGCAGGTGAGACGGGCAAGGTCTGCTTTGCTATATGAGTCTTAGCACCCAGGCTGGGGATGGAACTCAGGCTGCAGGAGTGATCACGCTGAGACTTAACCCCTAGGCGACCAGGGGGCCCCTCAATTTTCCTTTAGAACACATAAAATACTAAAAGTTGGAATTTCACAGGCTATGGAAACACCAAAGTAATGTTTTTGATTGTTTCCTCAAATTATAATGCGTGATGATTTTTTATTTTTGCTGCCTTTGAGTTCAGCTTATGTTTTACCAACACTACTGTGTAGTTTTCACAGATTTGAGAATTTGAACTTGTTTTAAGAAAAATTTTTATGATATCAATGTCTTTTTTTGTATATATATATTATAAGATGTATGATAATTTTTTGGCTTTAGAAAAATAGCGTCACTGAATAGCCAACAAGAGTAATGTTGGTCTTAAAGGGTAATAAAACCATTTAAGCAAGAAGGCAAGACCAAATACTAAACTGATTAAATGGTAAGTGAAATTTCTCATTCTGCACTGTTTATGTGAAGGAATATTTGTTGCTCAGGTAAAGAAATAGTCAAGCATTATGGGTGTCAGGAGAATACAATGAGGTGATTAACATTTTTCTTGCTGCCATTTGGTTTTAGTTGATATGACATCTCAAATACTGAGTCACAAATCCATCAAGAATAAGATTTTTAAAAAAGAATAGGCACATGAATAAATGTTTAATTAGAGATCACAAATATCCCTGAAGGACATGGGTGAAATA